ATTCAGTTTGGATACAACAAACTCATAAGTTGGTTTTGTTCAGTGGATTGTAGGTAATGTATGCAGAGTGCTTATGTCATGAAAAGCAGTGTATGTTCCTATTATTTCATATACGTAGTGTGTATAATTTAGTCTTTAATTAAGGTGTCTCATTAAAAATATAATTGTACAGGTTGTACCTCTCTAGTCCGGCAACCTCGGGACCTGACCGGTGCTGGACCATGGAAATTCACCCTTTTCCTGGATAGATAGTGACTTGTGCTTAAGCCTGGAAGCACTAGCACCACTTTCTCTGCACCATGGTCTCTTTGAAGACATATTGAAGGGTTAAATGTCGTATAGTAGCTTCTCAAATTTCGCGAGTTTTTAATTCTTAACGTATTTTATTGGAACACACAAAAAAATAAATAAATAAAAATTTTGACGGCGGAAACTTGAATTTCGACGGGTTTGAACGGCCCGCCAACGTGCAGACGACGTGCATAATCGTGTAAACAGCGTCATTTCTCTTATGTACAAAAGATTCATTATTGTTTATTACTGAATGTCTTTTTTATTGAATTAATGTTTATGTGTGCAAAATGAGCAATACAATTCATTAATAATACGTAGAATATTAAAACACACGAGGAAATGACACAGCATTGTATTCGTTGATTACAAAACCAGTGACTGACTGGTTCTACATATAAAACTGAAGAAAATAAGACCTTGGTTGTAGCTGTAGTAAAATTAATATGGTTGTTTTAAGTAATGTTATTTAATGTTAATAAATGGAACAATAGAAGTAGCTAACGATAATGGTAAAGAAAAAAGAGAGATCGCATATGTAAGTGCGCATGCGCACACGTGAAAACATATCATCATTACTTTACATAAGAATATGAAAGCAACACTTATTTACTGTTCATATATATTTTAATTAATGTTTCTGAATTTGTTTTTATTGAATTAATGTACGTGTGTGAAATTAACAATACAATTTATTAATAATACGTGGAATATTAGAGGAGACGAGACGGCTGCCGGCATTGTTTATGTTAAAGCTTACAAAACCAGTGACTGATTGGTTCTACATATAAAACTGAAGAAAATAAGACCCTGAGTTTAGCTGTAGTAAAATTAATGTAAAAAATGAATATGGTTGCTTGAAGTACCTGTAATGTTATTTAATGTTAATAAATGGAACAATATAAGTAGCTAACCATTAATGGTAAAAAAAAAAGTGAGACTGCTCGTATGTAAGTGCGCACATGTGAAAATATATCGTCATTACTCTACATAAGAATATGAAAGCAACACTTATTTACTGCTCATATATATTGAAGGGTTAAATGTTGTACTCTGTATAGACAAGCAGAGAGAGAGAGAGAGCAGCCGAACTGCCGGATGTAAACAAACCTTAATTTCCCGCGGCTTTTTTTTTTTTAGGGGATTAGCCCACCCGGGCATAGGTCACTGACCCACATTGGGGCCTGAGGGGCAAAAATTTAATACTCCTGTAATAATAATAATAATTCAGATAAGTAAAAAAAAAAAAAAAAAACCTGCCTATCTACCTATTGGACAAACTAAAATCGTTCCGGACCACGGGAGTTTCCGGACCACAGAATGCCGGACTAGAGAGGTACAACCTGTATTACAAAACTGACTCCATTTTATTTGTCAGTACAGTGGTCCCTCGGTTTACGAACACAATTCGTTCCAGAAGGCCGTACGTTAACCGAAAATTTCGTTAACCAAATCCATTGTTTCAATGGGATTTTGGGTAATTGGTTCCAGCTCACCGAAAAGTACATACAAAGTAAAAAAAAATGCAGTAAAGTACACTTACTTTGAGGTGTGATGTAGAAGGTTCCTGGTTGATGATGATGATGGGAATTAGAAGTGGGGGTGGAGGAGAAGGGAGAAGAGAAGGAAGTGGGGATGGAGGAGAAATCACCTTTCAGGGGACCCATGCTTGATGCCGTCATTTTACCAATAAAATTTTAAGTTCACTAGGTGTAATTCAAGATTATTTTCTTTAAATCAACACTGCACTGCGCAATATATTATCAATATGTTAACTAAAGTTCAGAATGACCAATAATTTCAATGAAAAATGCAAAAATATTCAAGACACCAACAAAATAGATGCTCTTTCCACTGTTTCCAAAATTCAACTGACGCCTTGTGACCGACTTACGCTTCTGATGGGCGCACAACAAACTAGTTCCCTGTACTGCATATATTATCAATATGTTAAATAAATGTTAAAATTACTAATAATTTTAATATAAAAAGGCAATAATATTAAAGAGCACAACTTTCTTGATATTTACTCCACTGGAAACAAATGTAAACATAGAAGAGATTACTGAATTGGCAGAGTAGCCCATCAGCTGATGCTCACAACAAAACGTGATTTTCATAAGGATTTCGTTAACCAAATTGAAGATTGTTATGGAAGATACTTCGTTAACCGAGGGACCACTGTAATGAATGATGAAGAATTAAAGATAAGTTGCTTGTCCTGGCGCTCGCACCTCACCCCATACTAATATGGCGGCCATCAGCGTGCACTGGCTTCACGCAGTGTGCCTCATTGCCGTCTCCATGTATATTAAACCTTCTTGATGCGGATGCTTGGCACAGTACAGCAGCATGGGCTTGATCATGTGTCCTGCAGCATTGCCACATAGCAGGAGAGACACACGATCTTTGGCCACTTTGAAGTCCGGTGCACTCCTTTCCTCCTCGGAAGTGAACATCCTGGCTGGCATCTTCTTCCGCTACAAGCCAGTTTCGTCAGCATTGAAAACCTGCTCCGGCTTGTAGCCCTTCTCCCGGATAATCTCAGCAAAATTCGCAGGATACTCCGTAGCTGTTACATCTGCTTCTCATGGCTGACTCACCGGTGGTCCTCAAGTTGTGTTGGTTGTAGTGCTTCGTGAAGTTCTCAAACTGCCCCTTACTGGGATTAAAACATTTCTTTGTGGTATCACCAGAATCACCAGCACTAGCACCACCTTCACCACTCACTTAACCTTCATCACCTTCCACAGCATTGAATCAGTCATACAGGACCTTGGCTCTCACAGATAAACTTCTGGCTGAGAGGGGTGTGGTGGCAGTTAAAGTCCTCAATCCAGATGTTAAGGGCTTTCTCCATCTTCACCATAGCTGTATCCCTCACATTAGCAGCTACCTTGGCAGAAGAGGGGTCATTTAGGGCGACTGCATTATGAATATCCTTCTCTTCTTGATGTAGCAGACAGATGCCATTGATGCCATAATCCTGGCCACAAGCGGCAAAGCTTTGGACACCCTTAAGTTTGTCCAGCAGTTGTAACTTCTTCACTGGGGTCATGACCTTCTTTTCTCTCTTGGCTTGTTTGGGCACCTTCCCACAGCACGATGAAGGTGGATGAGGGCGTTTGAGAGCCATCACAAGCACGAGGAGCACAGTTGTTAGTAGAACAGAGTAGTACACCCACGAGATGGACTAGTGTTTTTCCCAGACTGAGTCAGGGTGCGTGCGTGGCCCAGCCTCCTGAGACAACAGAGACACTTTGTGGGATGCCACAAAACTTGTGCGCTCCCAATCTCAGCTGTGAACATGTTGCCAACTTTAAAAGTACCCTCAGACATTCTTGGATTCATCCAGGGTATTATGTGTGAATAATTGAAGGCCAAAAATAAAAAAAGCCCAAATTGCAAGGACAGACTGTATTATTATAAGTAGTAGTAATAGTAGTAGTATAATTATATTACTTTTAGTAATATGAAACCTGTATTGCTAACGAAAATCTCATCAGGGAAATTCAGACGCCTTTTCCTTTTAAACTACAGTATTGTCCTTCCATTGTTCTTATCACATGTAACTTTATGTGTCGTCTGCTGGCATGGGTAACTTGTGATTGGCTAATATTCCTTCACAGTTTTTTTCTGGTCACAGTGATTGGTTTAGTGAGGAATCAAACAAATGCACCCAACTCCATCTAGTGGTAGCTTACTGAACTAAACATACTTGTGGTCGTTGTACGAACCATTAGCGAGTCGCCTATTGCCAACATTGTACGATCACCATAGCCTTTCGAGATAAGGGGAGAGATGGGATCAAAGTTATGGTCATGCTAGTGAATCTGGCCCAGATCTGAGTCACCCACTCCACAGCAAGACCATTTTGCTCTGGCAGTGGAGGATCCAGACCAGTGGCTTTGTGAGAATATTACATCATCACTTTTTTATGGTGATTATCCACGCTTGCATGGGTTAGCCACAGTTACTGGATGGTATCTCTTCATGTTGCATGGTCTTTTGCAGTTTCTCTTGTCAATTTCCTAACTCTGTCATTTCTTACAACCTGTCCCCGTGTCATTCTTGGCTTGCCCTTGACTTTCCTTTCCTCCACAGTTAGGTTTGTGCCCCTCCTCACCCAACTAGTCTCATTCATTTTAATTTTCTCCAAATGCTCAAACCATCTCCCCAATATGTACTGTACTCTCCATACCCAGCTGCTCTCTTTCTGGCCTCCTGTCTTTCAGTGTCACATTACACATCAACTTCACCATTCTCATTTCAGCTTGCTTAAGTCTACTTTAACTGCCCATGTTTTAATGCCATACATCACATGAACTGCCTAATTCAGGGCTTGGACATAAAATGGGATTTCAGTATTGACCTTCATCTTCCCTCCTTTTTGCAATAATAAGCTACAGGCAATGCATAATTCTCTCATTAACTTCACTGAAAATGTTGATTAGAATGGTGAAAGAGTTCGACTGCTCTAGATTTGTGAAATCATTGAATTATCTGGTTTATTGGGTGTTTGTTGAGGAAGGATTCACAATTAGTACAGTACATTGTAAATCTTGATTCAGAGAATGAATTGCACGATAACTATGAAATATAAAGTTGAGTTGCAGTCAGTAATTTCATTAGTTTTATGAGTCATCCTCACATTTGTTGGAATACTGTGTATGCTACTGTAATTTACTTTTATGTGTCTCTCCTTGCAGTACTCCCTCAAGAAACAGGATGCCCAACACCTACAAAAGAAGAACCCAATTTTACCCTTTGAGGATATCCTTCCGGTAGAACGGCTCTCGCAGAAACATGATGCATCACTGTTTTGTATGGCCACACACTCAAAGAAGAGACCAAACAACATAATTTTAGGTATGATAAATTTAGTGAGTTATAGATGTACAGTGTATAAGACAATCTTGGTGTCATTGCTTGAAAGCATCACAGTTAGTAAAAAATGGCTCCCTACCTCAGATTTAGTAACTGTTCTTTTAGCTGAGTTTAGTGCGGTACACTATCCCCTGACTTAACGTGGGGGTTGTGTTCCCAGAAAATGCTGTGGAAAGTGAACCCATTATAACTGGGGAGATAGGGGATGCGTCAGGTGGACCCCAAAAAGTCCCCCCCCCCTCACACACACACACACAGACACACACACACAGACACACACACACAGACACACACACACACAGACACACACACACACAGATACACACACACACACACACACACACACACACACACACACACACACACACACACACACACACACACACACACACACACACACACACACACACACATATCAAAACCAAAGTCCAAAGACATCATGCAGTTCTAAAGTAGCTCACTAATACACATACATTACATCTATCAAATTCATCTAAACATGATGTTGTGAAGGCACTGGCATGTTCATGAAATCCCTTCCCGAAAGTTAAACCCTGCGGCCATTTGCAGACACTGGCTGAGCCACACGTGGCCTCCCTGAAGCCTCACTATAGCAACCGACCCAATTCGGGACTTCCCTTAGTAATCCTCCCCCTCCCGCTGACGCACGAAGCAATATTTAATCATTTTATGTTTATGACTTAATTAATTTTTTTTTCACATACTGTTTGTAGGATTGTTTGTGCATGTAACCGAATATAAAAAAATAAGAAGAAAGTCATTTCATCTATTTGAAATTAGGAGTGAAAATAATCTTAATGATGTTTTTTTTTGGGGCACATTCTGTATGTAGGATTGTGTGTCCATGCAACCGAATAAAAAACATATACATAATATATATAATATTTATAATATATATACTGTAATATATATTATATACAGTGGTCCCTCAGTTAACGAACACAATCCGTTCCAGCAGGTTGCTCGTTAACTGAAAATCTCATTAACCGAAACCATTGTTTCAATGGGCTTTTGGGTAATTGGTTCCAGCTCACTGAAAATTGCCTAAATTCAACAAAAATGTTAGAAATTACACTTACTTTGAGGTGTGTATGTAGAAGGCTCCTGGATGATGATGCTGATGTGAATTTGAAGTGGGAGGTGGAGGAGGAGAAGGGAGAAGAGAAGGAAGTGGAGGTGGAAGAAAAGCATTTTACTGCTTCTTGGAAGGTGACTCACCTTCCATGAAAATGTCAGGAACCTTTGGACTGACAGATTCTCCACCATGAACATCCTCTCTCCTTGAAGTGGAAGGCTGAGGGCTAGCATCTTGTTCCCTCTGCCTTTTACTGAAGAAAGTGTCAATTGTAGTCTGTGGGGCATCTCTCCTCACCATTAACTTCTGTTTAAAGAAGGAGACCATTGAGTCCTCAACATGACACAAAGTTAGTTCAGTTTTTTCCACATCTGGGTGCTTTGAAGCCAGTTCCCTGAACTTCTCCGAGTAGTAAATCACATCTTTCAACTCTTTAGTTGACATATGGTCATCACTTTCAATTTCCTCCTCACCATTGTCAGCCTCTAACATCTCATCTAGTTGCTTCAAGTCATCAGGAGTAAGCTCCTCCTCATGAGACATCACAAGCTCTTCGACATCATCCTCTTCCACTTCACGGTCCAATGGCTGACCAATGGACACAATCTCCTGGTCCAACTCTGTCATCCTGAAATCCCTCAAAATCATGGACTACTGATGGCCACAGTGCTTTCCATGAAGAATTGAGGGATCTAGTGGAGACTTCTTGCCATGATGACACAATCAATTTTACAGCCTCCAGGATGTTGAATTGTGTCTTCCAGAACTGTTTCAGAGGTTAGTTCAGGATCAGTGGAAGTTGCCTGATGATACCACCTAAACATTTTCTTTATGTACAACTTCTTGAAGTTACTAATCACATTCTGGTCCATTGGCTGTATGATTGATGTAGTGTTGGGAGGCAAAAACAACACTTTCACAAAGTCAAATTGATACTCCAAAGTTCTGGCAAGTTCAGGGTCATGACCAGGAGCATTATCCATGAGGAGAAGAGCCTTTTAAAGTTTAAAGGGAGTTTATTGGTGGTCAGGTAGCTCTTGACAGAAGGGCAAAACACCTCAACAGCCCATTCATTAAAGAGCTGTCTTGTCACCCATGCTTTACGGTTGGACTTCCAATAAACTCCAAGCTTTGCTCCTACCACTTTCTGTTGCTTGAACACCCTGGGGTTTTCAGAGTGGTAGACGAGCATAGGCTTCAGTCGGAAATCCCCTGAAGCATTGGCACCAAGCAATAGAGTGAGACGGTCTTTCATGGGTTTATGCCCAGGTAAAGAGTCTTCATCTCTGGTGATGAATGTTCTTTTGGGCATCTTTTTCCAGAACAGCCCAGTTTCGCCCACATTGAACACTTGCTGTGGAAGATAATTTTCTTCATCCACCAGTTCTTGAAATTCCACTAAAAACTTTGCTGCCCCTTCCTTATCAGCACTAGCAGCTTCACCATGCCTAACAACACTGAAAATGTCACTTCTTTTCTTAAATTTTTCGAACCAGCCTTTGCTGGCCCTAAAATCTTCAAATTCTGTGCCTGAAGAACCAGGTTGATCTGTCTTTAAATGTTCGTAAATCTCCCTGCCTCTTTCACAAATGAATTCAGTAGAAACTGAATCACCTTTTATCTGTTTTTCCCTAATCCAGATGAGAAGTAACTTCTCAGTTTCTGCAATTAGGGATCTACTTTTCAACACTGGTAGATTTGTCTCACTTTCACTTCTTTAAATTTTTCTTTCTGTGCAAGAATTGTCGACACAGTTGATGTCGACATGCCATATTCTTTGCATAGCGCATTTGTTCTAATGCCTTGTTCATGTTTTTTTTATAATTTCTTGCTTGGTTTGGATTGAAATTGCTTTTCTTGATCTCTTAGGCCCTATGCTGGATTCAAACAATGGCAAAACGTATTTTTCAAAGTTAAACTAGCTGTAAATAAAAAGAACATTTTCTTTAAAATAACACTGCACTGCGCTATATATTGTCAATATGTAAAATAAACTTCAAAATGACCAATAATTTGCTTGGAAACAGAAAAAAAGCATTTAGGTGAATAGAGTCTCAAGTAAGGTGTTACCTCCACTGAAAAGACAGAGAGACTAACGCCTGTTTGGTGTGTTGACAGGCTGGATGGTGCGCATGAAACTAGTTACCTTACCTTCAATTATGTTCAATAATTGTTAAAATTACTAAAAAATTTAATATTAAACTTTTAAAATTATTGAATAGTATAAAATTCTTGATATTTACTAAAATAGTAAGGAATTTAAGCCCTAGAACCGATTACTGTATTGGCGGACTAATACTGCAGCTGGTTGACCGCCAAGTGCAAGCGAAAACATGTTGAGGTCAGCTTGTATGAAACTCTTTAATCAAGGGCTTGCTCATTAACCGAAGTTAAGAATCTTATGGAAGGTAACTCGTTAACCGAGGAACCACTGTAGTTGTTAATGGATAATGGGAGCCTCAATGCTCCTACAGTTGGTGTCAGCAAAAACGCTGGCATTTCTTCTCTTGTCTTGCCAGCGAACTCGAAGGATGGAACGTAGACTACGTTGGTGAAAGTTTTCAAGTGCCTTGAGGTGCCTCCTGGATGTGACCCTTGTCTTGCTGCCATATAGCAGGCTGGGGAGGACCACTACTCGATAAGTGTGCAACTTTGTATCTAATTTCAGCTCCCTACAGCTGAAGACACGGGTATGGAGTCTGCCAGATACTTGAGATGCACATCTGATTCGATGTTGATTCTCTTCATCGATGTCCTTTTGTGGTGGACAGGTGGGAGCCAAGTGGTGGAATTGTGGTCGAGATGGGCAGGCTGAAAAAAAATCCGAGTCTTACGTATATATACCTCAAGGCCGAAGTGTGCATGCACATCTGCATAGGTGTTCATGCTCTCCTGTATGTTGCGTTCTGTGTGAGCAACTAGGTCGCGTTTGGTGTGCGCAACACGGGTGAGGTAGTTTACATACTGAAGTTCAGTAATGGAAGCTGCCGACACCTTTGTTCCTGCTTGGAGTCTTCTTATGTTGAAAAGACCCTTCATCAGGTACTGGATGACCACCTGCCGGCTAGTTTGGCACTGGCACAAGTAAGGAAGGCAGCTAAGAAAATGGAAAAAAAGAGTTGTTGCTGGTACACATCCTTGTTTTACCCTCATTTGGATGGCAGAACACTGCTGTTCATGTCATCGTGGAGCTGCCTCACAATGGGATGAATTTAGGTGAGCAACCAAAACAGCTGAGGGTCCGCCAGAGGGTTCCCTGTTGACCGAGTCGAAGGTTTTGGTTTGGTCAATGAAGGCCATGTACAGGCCACGACACTATTCGCTGTACTTTTCTGCATCTGGTGGGCAGCAAAGATCATGTCAATGGTGCCACATGATGGTCTAAACTCTAAAGCCACATTGAGATTCTGGGAGGAAGTTTTCCGCCTCAGGAAGAAGTCTGTTTAGGAGGACTTGGGCGATAATCTTGCCAGCTACGGACAGCAGCAAGATCCCACATTAGTTACCACAGTCTGACTGGTCTTCCTTGCTCTTATAGATATTGGGGGATTTCCTCCTTTTCCCATATGCAGTTGTACCCCACTTAACGCGGTCAATTGAACCCAGAGGGTCCCGCGTTAAGTGAAATCCGCGTTAAGTGAACAACAGAACATATGGGATTAATTCCAATAGAAACCGGCCCGACCCCCAAACTCCACTTTTTGAAGGCACATACCTATGTTGTAGTAAAAATAACATCTTAATTTTATGATGGTACATGCACACAATTAATACTTAAGAGAAATAGAGAAATACAGTCGCCAAGTTAATGTCCATTCAAATAATGGACTCAACTCCCTCCCCCTCTCACACTACACAGCCGGCTAACAGATGGTCGGTCGGTCCC